AATTCTGTATTCATTCTTGACTTCCTTGGCATATGGTGCTGTCTGTGACCTTCTACACCAAACCTTTTGTTACTGCCAGCAAATTTTGCAATACAGGAATTGGCATTGGTGTACTGGCACCTCCCCTTCTTGGCAGAGCTGGCCTTCAGAGCAATCCAGATCACTCTCGTTTCTTCAGTTCCATTTAGTAAATATCAACAGATATAATTTGCAGTGTCAGCAATTCAGATTTTTAACTAATGTTTTTCAATTTGTTTTTCCTCATTTTCATTTGTCCTTTTTCTTGGACTGGTTCCTTTGCTTTGTCCTCACTTCCAGCTTTCCCCCACTGTGCTTTCCATGCACATTTCTTTCCTACTGAGACTGTATACAAATATTAGAGCTCTAACTCACACTTTTATCAGCAGGATGTGCCACACTCTGTGGGCACGCTCAGTTCAAATAAAAAGCCCATTGGCAATACAATAAATCAAGTGATTAAAAAGAAGCAAAATGCCAACACTCTCGCTGTAGCAAACAGAATTTTCTAACAGAAGTCAATGGTGTATCCTAAGACATGAACAGTGTAATACTGAACTGATGTGTGGGCAGCCTGGAGAAACCTGTGGATTTTCCTATTTCTGTTTGTGTGAAAACTTTTGATATCAAACAAAGCCAGTTAATGAGGACCAGAGAATGTATAGCAGAAAACCGTGTTTATGGTAAACTGAACAGCAGAATGTGCTAATGTAGTTTATGCACTCAGAGCTTTAGAGTTGTGCTACTCAGGTTATAGGTTGTGCAGCAGGAAATGCAGCAAAGGTTGCTGGAGGCAGGACATTGTTTCTCCAGTTCCTTGTGCTGGTCATGGTGACCAACGACCAGCCAACTTTCTGTGGTGTTTAGAGAATCTATTGCATGGGCCAGCTTTCGTGCTTACAGATTTGCTTTTGATCATTCACCCAGAAGACAGTAGTGTCATTACAAGTGCCAACAGTCTAAATAATATTGTACTTAAAAATGTAACTCAAATATGGGTAGAAATGCATTTTATATTATGATTTTTTACCAGCATTTTTGTTCAGCAACATTTCCTGCATATTCTTTTCCTTTCCAACTTTTAAAACAAAAAAGAAGGACAAAATTGGATGCGAAATTAAAATACTTTTAAAATCTCAAGAACTGAATTGTAAAGAAAAGACATTAAATATTTAACGTGTGTACATGCGTGTGAGACAAATTGTTTTGTAAATATGTTAAAGACATGTGCGTTGGAACATTTCCTTAGAGCTTCAGTGCACCTTGATGTTTTTTATTTTAACTAATAATTGTTAAAATAATTTCTGTTTTCTTTTTCAACATCTTGGGGCTCTACATGAATTAAAATATGCAGGGATATACTTTCTGTATAGGAAAGGACTCTGAAGTGATATTCTAATTCAGTGGTATTTTTGTAACCTGATTCCTCCTCTGTATATCCTCAGTATTCTAGTCTGGAGCTAATCTGAAATACAGGACTAGATTGCATAAAGGTTCTGGCCTTCAGTCAACAAAACCCTTTTCTGCTGAGAAGTGAAAGATAATGAAAAAGATGTAATTACTGTAATGATGGGTTAGACCTTTAGATTCATGCTGCAATCAGTGATTCCTGTGATGCTCTGCTGCAATCATGGTTTAGCGCTGACTGGAAAGACAGGACAGGTAAAGACTGTGAAACACTCCATCAGCTCTTGATCTAAATGTCTATGGGAGAGTCAAACCTCTCATTTGCAGGTGGTGGTGCTGGCTCAAAACTTGAGGGCAAAAGATTGGGTTGTCTTGGAAGGAGCATCTTGGAATATTTTTCAAGTGTGTAAAAAAATAAAGAAAATCCCCATAAATTACTCCCTCTCCTCTCAACATACAATAGAAAACTTTTTAATCATACGAGGCTGTTTTGTGTGCCATACACACAAGCACAAATATGAGCATCAGACCTTATATATATATAGTAATCAAATTTTAGTAATCCCAATTTAGTCATTAGTAATCACATAATCAAAGAAAAAATTTCTATTGTGTAGAGGTAGGCTTGCCAGAGCCATTAAATTTCAACTGCTGTCAAATCAATGCCAAAATCATTCCAAATACTTACAGATTTTCTTACTCCTTACTTTAGTCTTGAAGTCAAGCTTGAAAATGCATGTACAGCATTAATAAATACTTTTATTTTTATTCTGAGTTTGAAAGATTGTTGGATTATGGACTTAAAGTAAGTATTTCCAGCTGATGCTGATGGAACTATACAATCATTTCATAGCCATTCAGGATAAAGGGTGTTGGCCCTAATCCTGGACCTCTTATTGATGTAATTAATCTTCATATCTGTGAAGTGTGTCACAGAAGTTAGCTGGAACTTCTGCATGAGTAATAGTTGCAGAACCAACCTTGGTCATTTAAATCATGATTATCCTTGGAAAACAACTGAAGATTAGCTCTGGTATTAATTTTTTGTGTGGACATCACAGAGATTAAAAGCAGATGTTTTCCAGAAGTACTTAAGTGTATCTTCCATGGTCTACAAATGTCATAATCTATAGAAACTTGACTAGTTTTAATTTGAAAATGAGTTTTCAGCATTATCGGTCAGTTTGATCAACCCAACCATGTACATTCTCAATGCTGGTCAGGAGGATATCCTAGCATAATGGTAATCCAGAAGTATGTTTAATTAATTTTGTAATCTTTATTTGTACTTAGAAGGATTTGTAAAGAGAAAGGAAGTGAGTACAGTGTTGATATGACTGATCTCAGTCAAGGGATCAATTTTTTACATGCTGCAGTAAAAAAAGGTTTTCATTTACTTCTTATCATTAATTGACAAAATCTATACAGAACACTTCACTCCCACTTCATTTCTAGGTTTGGTGATTCAGAGTGATGGTGTTACACTACATCCATGTGCCAGGCAAGTTATTTAGCTTGACTTACAGATATTGATACTCTAGTTCACACTTTACGACTTCAGAGCCTCACGACACAATGTGTCACTTACTGCATGACCAAAACCATTTGACTAGGTACAACATCACCAGTTAAAAATTACTGTATTCATGAAAAATATTTTGTTTCTGTGAGTAGTGTATATTGCTGTTGTACTTGTGACAGTGTACTTAATTTTTCTGTTTTAGTAATCATGACATTAATTTATGGCTAAATTTGCACTCCATTTCTTTTCCCTAATTTCATAATTGACTCTGTAATGCAACACAAAAATTGCAACTTTTTGGAGAGAGAGATTCTCTCCATCTTCTAGTTAAAAGCCTTTAATATAAATGACCAAGACCAAGGCTGCAGCTGTTATGGCTTGCAATCTGGATAGGCATGGTATTTGTTATGGGCAATGGAAGATATTGAAGAGAAAGTTTAAGGAAGATATAATGCTGAGCAGTGAAGTGGAAAAAAAAAAAGTACTTGTCAGAAAAATAGATGTTTTGGATAGTTACTAGTGGTGCGAATGTGGAAGGGTGACCTTTCATCTGACAACCCTGTAGGATGGATTGATATTAATGATGAGAGGCCTTTAAATGAAAACAGAAGAGAAATAAGGAAGAAGAGCTGGCTTTAAAATTATCTTTCCTCATCAAGATAGAATGACAACCAAGGTGCAAGACTGCAGGCATTTTGTCTAAGATGAGATTGCAGTAGTGAAGTTAAAAAGTGACCCAGGCTCAGTTAATTGTTTTGGTGTTGAAGGCTGAGGTTAAAAGGTTGTGTTGTAGGAACTGTTGTGCAGGATGTTCATGGTAATGTGTTCATCAGTCATGTTTGTAAGTCTTTAGTATTTTCATTACCCTTAGAATTTTGTGCAGTGATAACAAAGTAGCAGTGGTACCAATTTTTTTCTCCTGCCTAAGAAGACTATATCAGAAAAAAGAAAATAAGGTTTTCCTTTATTCCTTATTATCCCAAAGAAGATTATCATCTTTCTCTAGATGCAGAACCTCTATTTTTGTTATTCTTTTCCTAAAATGCCCTTTTTCAATTTTTTGTTACAAATTTAAAGAAGTAGCAGGAACCTCATCATATATAGAAAATATTTTACAGAAGTTGTCTTAAGGTAACTTTGGGATCTAGAAATAAAAATGGAAGAAAACATATGCTATCTAGAGAATCAATCTCTAGAGAGACTGTAGGATTGAAGAAATTAACTTGCAATCCCTGTCAGGTCTCTGATATTAGCAGACTTCCATCGGGGCCAGAAATGCATATACCTTCCAAATTTACGCTATTTATTTTTCAGTTGTGTTTAGGCATTTGGGTTTGTGATTATAGCAGCTGTTTTTTTGCAATAGTCTGCTTAGAACATGCAATATTCTCATTATTGGGGCATTTCTTAGGGAAAGACAGGAGAGATAAAATTAATTTTAAAAAAGATGGTAAAATGCATTCCACTTTTAAAAGGTAAAAAGAGCTATTTAGATAAATATTTAATGTTAAGGAAGTGTATAGAGAGTAAAGATGACTTGTAGAATAGGCAGAAGGAACAGGGAAATGAAAAATCATAGGGACAGTTGAACTTTAGGGGAAAGTTTAACTTTTATTAGTTTTATTATTATCCATATCTCAGGCATTGGGATTTAGACAGTAAGTTTCATTTTGGAGCAGAGAAGGCATTTCATCTACTGACATTAAAGAGGTCTTATAAATATTAACTGTACCCATATTAATAACTGTAATTTTTCTTTAATTGGAAGACTGATTTTTTTTTTATTCTGTGTACTTGTATAGTAAAGCATCCTGCCTTGAGAAGGAGGCTGGGTTTCACACTAGTGAAAGAAATGTGATTTCTAGAACTGACAGCACAATGGGTAGTGGATAGTTTGTGGTCTTGTGGTCATATCTTTTATATTAGCATTTTAATGTGAATATCTAAGAAGCTACAATTGTATACAGTTATTTCACTTTACAATATTCGTAAGAATTCACGGTGACTTTTTTTTTCCTATTTTTGGTTATTTTTTGGTTTGTTTTCCCTGCAGCTGGGCCTCTGGAACTTCCTCTTTTTGAGCTGATCCCATCACAAAGACAAGTGGTTTTCCATGGAGACCGCCTGCCATTTCAGTGTACTGCAACATACGTTGACAACACCACCCAGGTACATTGGTACCATGCTGGTCGCCTGGTCGAAACAGATGAAGAGAGTGGCATATTTGTGGAGGACAGCATCATTCATGACTGCTGCTTAATTACACGGTAACATATACCCCTTGCAATAGTCAGACCTGTAGGCAAGGTGGGCAGGTTCAACACTTGCAATAAGCCTCATAAAAAGGTGCATCAGGAGTTGTTCTGTTTGAAGCAATTCAGTTGCACACTTGAATCTGAGCGTACGGAGGTGGAGATTTTTCGTGTTTATGATTGGCTGTAGTTCCAAATTGTACATTTTGTGTCTAAGTATTCGGATTTATTCAAATATGGGTTTGAAACAGATAAAAACAGTTTCTTACACAGTAAACTATGAGAAGGAACTGAACTTAGAATAGTAGCATTTGAGAGTGACACACAGCCAAACTGCTGCTTCCTGACACCATCTAGAAGTTTGAACTGTGATCTACCTGTGAAGAACTATCAATTTAAAAGGTTTGGATTAGTTTCTGTAGGTTCCAATATACTAGATCCTATAGTCTTTAGTTAGGTAATCTCATATTTGTTTCTTATTAAATATTTTTGAGTTTTCTGTGGCTTTTGCCATCTGTGTGCCTTGGTGTGCTTGAGAGACACAGAGATCTACAGACATATTTGCTGAGGTGAAAAGTGCAAGAGGAATGAAGTAGAATAGGCTTCTATAAAAGAAGTAAAAACTAATATTTGGCAATGACCATATCGTTCCAGTTTTGCTTCAGTTTTGCCTTTTAAATCTTATTTAATAAATTATTATAAATTTTAGTGTTTATTTTTGGTTTTCATCATAGAATATTGGCTTGTCACTAAAAGCTACTAAGTTGTTGCACACATCCTTTTGTCCTCTGCCAATTTCCATCAGTGATCAAAAAAGAGAGTCTGATTCTGTGTCTATGTTCTGCCTTTTTCTTTGTAGAAGATGGAGTGAAAATAGCTATGCTAATTAGCTCTGGATAATCATTAACATCTTTTCACTCAACCAGTTTCTATTAATATAATTGACCTGAAATGCTTCTTGAACTATCAAATAAAAGTTATGGAGTCAAATGAATTCCTCTCCACTGGGGTCTTTTGGCTATATTAATTTTGTCTATTCACTGATTATTTGACCCCTTTTGGAGTCCTATAGATCTAGAGGCACAGATCTGACCTATTCTCACAGCTACTGGCTTTCTTCTAATATCAATGTGTATGGCTTTAGCCATAATGAAAAGGACTATTAGACCAATTAGTATAGTAATGCCAAGTGCATGAGCTACTGTATAATTGCCAAATCACTTAAATTAAACATGTTCTTCCTATTGCCATTATATCAAAATTAAAAGACATGCTGTTAATCACCTCATTATATTTTTCAACTGAATTATATTTTGCAGTATATAAGCAATTTGTAGAGCATAGTAATAAACTGAAATAAATTGTCCAGAATTGTTTTCAAAATAGTTTTTCCTTTTTAAAAAGCTGGTTTGGAAGTAGCTTGACTGAATTTTACCTTACATTACTAATTTTTTTACCAGACTGTAAAATAAAAATCATTGTCTACCATAGCAATATTTTAATAAGAATGCTTGATCTCCTACCTACCCTGTTTACTGTGCCATTTAGTAGGTGACCTTGATGCTTATGGTGCAGTATGCACTTGGAATGTGAAATATGCACATTTAGAAAGAATGTTTTCTAAATATATCATCACATGTTATAGACTGGAAAAATACTTCTACTTGTCCAAGTCAAATATTTTTGAATTAAAATCAAAATCTTCGAACAGCTATTTAAAAGCGTGCAACATTTTAATTTCTCATTTATTTGCACTGAACGTTTCACTTCAAAAGATAAAAGGGCATCAACGCTGCATTTATTGTAGAGCATAGTCCTTATCCAGTCAAAAATGCTAATATCCAAGCAGTTGTGCCTCTGCCTTGATAAAGGCACTGATCAGAATTAACTGATTAAAGGTATGAGAGACACATACTTTTGAAACTACTCTTAAAAACCATACTATTTTAAAGTAAATTATTTTTTAATATAAAGACATGTATTGTCTCTGCATGTTAAAAATGAGAAAACATTGGCCAAGTTGTAACTGTAAAAACTCTCTTCATAATTTCTTAATTTTAATCCCATCTTTATGACCTAATTTATATAATTATAATAATAATTAAAATAATGCGTAATAGCATGCTTATTACATGTAACAATAGTATGTATTAGTATGCTTGTTACATGCTATTACACACTAATTTGTGACAGTTCTTAAGGCTAAATCGTAGTTGTCTAAGGCACTGTGAAAAATCAGACAGACTGTGCCTCCTTTAGGTTATCAAATGTTAAATATAGGATTTGGACTAAAAAAAAAGGTAACTTAAAATCAATTCTTACAGTGTCATATTTTGCCTTTGTTTACCTAGTCTTTACAGCAAATGTCCACTGTGGCTTTCTGTAATTGCACTAAAGGACAGGCTTTGGCCTCTGCTACTTAGCAATTTAAAGATTTCTGAAGCTGGTTTTGAACAAAGAGGTGTAGTCATGTTCCAAAAGCTGCTTATTCAAACATTTTTAGGTGGTTATTTTATTGGGGAGTTCCAGATATTTCTGGACATGGATTTACAACACAAATATCATACTAAACCCTTTTGTTTTATTAACTGGCACAGGAGAAGGATAAAATATCCAAATGTGTATTTTTTGTCTCCTATGATAAAGCAGAATAAGCTAAAATAAATGTTTTTGTTACAATAATTAAACTAAAGTTTTGAACTGTATTCCATTCTGTGACATTTTTCTTGGCAAAGAGTATTCCCTTATAGGAGATGTTGAGAAGGTGTTTTTAATTCTGCTGCTAGCTTGAATTTACCATTTCTTGCCAATGATAATAATATTTGATTTTGCTGGTGTTTAATTTTCTGTCATTATGCCTGTGTATAAATGTCGTAGTCATACATGAAAATATACATATGATGTGGGACTAATTTCCTATAATTTGTGAATGGATCTAGCTGAAATTGTTACTAGTGCTTCCATGAAGGCAGCCTAATTTCTTTAGCCTCGAATACTAGATTATCAGTTTGATCACAACAAGCAGCAATTCCAACTTAGCATATTCTATGATTCTATGATATCACTGGAGCCACAAAGAAGGAAGGTCATGTAGGATTCCTGGCAGCACAGCATCTTTCCCAGTTTCCACACTGTTCCCTTTCAGTGTTTGGAGAAGGTAGCAGGACAGTTATAGAATATTAAACAAAAAGAGGAAAATATTTTAGTTTTATGAACCAAAAGTGGTTCATAAAACCAAACTCTCTCTGCAGTGGTAGAGAGACTTTAATTTTCAGGAAGTTTCTTATTTACCACATACACTATAATGACAGTTTTGAAGTCTTTTTAGTTCTATTCTGTAAATACTTGTGTAGAGTGTTTAACAGTGCTTATGCCCCTGCCAGCTGTAATAGCTGCTCTGGGACCATTACACTTCACAAGTGTTCCTTCTGAACACATTACACTATGCAGAAAGTTAAGAACCCATAAAAAGGAGTGTTACAACTGGAGAAAACAACATGCTCTCAACTAAACTTAGAATAGCAGGTGCTAATATGAAAAGTTGTTTTCAGATGTTATTTTTATGTATATAGATTTGCCACTGGAAATACAGACTATTAGGAGTGAATCTTGATCCCCCCAAAATCGTGTTTTTCTATTAGTCTGTCCTATTTCAGTCTTCTGAAAGAGGTATATGATTATGTGAAAATCCCAAAAATGTGCAAAAGAAAGGAAGAATTTCAAATCATCATCCACTTGTAATAGAGAAGAAATTAGGAAAAAAGTAAAAAAGAAATTAACTGTTGTTGGTTAAAAATTTTACTCATAATTTGCTTTATCTAAAGGGGAAGTTGAGTCCAATTAATAATTTTTAACTGTTTGAAATTATCAGTGTAGCTATTAGTAAAGAATTTGGAATTTGGTTGAGACAGTTTCACTAAAAGAATAAGGATTGTTTAAGATATGATTAGAGAAAGGAAATTGATTCCAGCAGTAGACAGGTGGTATTGTGGCAAGTCTTAGATCCAGGCATATATTCCTTATAAGAAAGAACAAAAGGCTTCCAGAACTTATGGGAGAAAGGAAGAAATTCTAGGCATATTTTTTGTGGAAAGCATCCAAATGATTTCTGAACTTTCTTAACAGCTTGTGGCAGGGATACATCTGGAAAAGACATGAAGCAAGCACTATTGATTTGGACTGGCATTAGGTTAAGAACAGTCTGAAAATCACCAATAAGTATGTTGGTAGGTTGGATACATAACTGGAAGTTCAGATATGTGTTGGTAGGTTGGATACACAATTATCAGTTCAGGTGTGTACCAGATCATGGCAGAATACTGGAAATTCACTTTGCACGAGATTAACAAAAATAAATGTTAAAACGGATCCAAATAATCAATCAAATAATTGATTCAGAAATGCAGATATTTTATAATCACTTTGTATTCTGCTGTCGTGAGTATTTGGAGGTGAGCAGCTTAGGGTCATGCTGAGAAGCCCAGGGAAATAAGCAGAAACTGGTTAGTGCTGGTATTTTTGGTTCATCTAATTGGCTCTGTTTGACCCTTAGTTGTCAAGCAGTTAGGAAATAAATGAAGCAAAATAATGATTTAAATTGTAAATCAATATTTCTGTATTATTTTGACACCACTTTAAGCCCTGTAGTCAACGGTCTAGAGCTTACTTCAGGCACTGGAGGCAGATAAAGACTAGTGACAAATGCATCTTCACCAGCAACATTCTCATATATCAGACAGGAAGATAATATTTCAAATTATTGCAGAATATTATGAAATGCTCACGCTAGCAGCTTCATTATGTGAGATTAAGAGTACCTTCATGTGAATTAATTTGGAAGAATAATTAAATTTAGGCCTTTTCTCTAAAAATATTTCAATTACTTGAATAAAACTCAATGACAGTTTTACTACTGATCAGTTCAGGGAATAATTTAAAATATAACCTGTGGAAAAGTGTCCTAATGTGATGAAAAGCAAAAGCAGCAGCCACGATACCCTCTATCATTAAAGTAA